ATATAATGTGCTCGATGCATTGGTAACGATCGAATGCATTCAGTTACAAAAAAAATTCGGAGGATATCGATACCTGGCAGTTGGGAGATCGCGAGACGAATTGTTATTCGTAACGTTGCGATGATGGAATGTTTCATCATTTTGTGTTCTGAGAGAATAGTTACCTTCTAAAAAGCTTGTAATGGTATGTCGTGAAAAAATTGTTTGACTGACACTCATAATATTCGGTTATCATTGCTAATGAATTCTGTCAGATTTATCAGCAGGTATCTTTCGTGAGCTGTTGTTATTGAGGATTGAGGTACATCCATTAATTATTTTGATTATTCTTATTTACTTGTTTACTTTCGCTCAGTGTTCGCGTTTCTTCTGTTTAGAATCACTTCTAACTCAACATGGTTCTCTAACTGCGGAAAATGTTTGCATTACTTTCATCTTTCTTCAAAATTTCACAATCATACAGTATCTGAACTTTTAACTGGATAACTTGCACGCAAGGACGTTACTACTGAAAGGAAAGCAGCAGTAATGATACGGTGCTGCTCATCATGATGCGGCGCGAAAAATGGCTGAAGTAGGCGATGGAAATATCTTGAATCAAACTTCAAGAAAGAAGTACTCCAAGGAAGACATCACAGCTTCGTCGGTGCTCTCGGTGATGACGTTAAGTGGCAATTTCGACCCTATAATTGTGAAGCACTTCCGAATCGTTTTACAGCATTCACAACAGCATATTCGTTTTTGAAACGTGCAATTATGACCGTAGGATAAAAATGACTTTTTGAATGAACTATTATAAAAGGCACCAAAGCATACTGACTGAACTTCAGACGGCAGTGAATGCATTCAATTGTTATTTGTTCATATTGACTGCTGTGATTCTTCATTGGCCCTCCCTAGAAAGTGCTTTCCGCCGAATCAAATTTTTCTATTCATTCATGAAACGGTAATTGTCGTAAAAAATTCCCTAGACGCGCATTCAACCTGAATGAACGTGGAATCATTCAAAAGAATTACCGATCCGATGTACACCGAAATTGGTTTGTTCCATGCGATCATTTTTGACTCGGTGTTCTACGGCCTCTCCGTAGTAGCGGTTTCAAAAGATTGATAAATTCAGGCTTATCACATCATTCCAGTATTATTAACAAATCCATTTCGCATTACTGTCAGCATACAACGCAATACTTACCCACTCGCCATTCACCTCTCCAAACACATTCTTCGAATTCGCAACGAACTAACATTTCAGTCTGTTCCAGTTTTGCAACAATAAATACGTGCCTATCTTTTTCGAACACGGACACCATCATGAAAATGCCATCATTAAAAATGTGGTCAGCAAACAAGACGCCCTTCCACTTGCAATACCGCTGAGAAATTCATCCTGAGCTGTTCGATTAGCATTGATCAGTCGAATTTGATGGAATTTCATCCATTCCTGAATAAATGCTAGGGATATGTTTCGAAATCATCATCATTAAGAACGGAACTTTTAGCACATTCCTCCCTTTGATTAGACAGCGATTTGATTGGATGCTTTTAGTGTTTGAAATTTCGATTAGTTTCCGATTAGTTTCTTGTGATTAGTCACGTGAATTAATGAGATGTTGCGTAGATGCGCAGCGATCCGAAGCATGGATCATCCATCGTGTAGTGTGTATTATCAAATGCTCAAATTAGTTTTGCTTTCGGATAAACATCAGGAAACGAATGATTATATAATTTCTATTGTATGACTTGAATGGAAGAAGAAGATGATGAGACGACAAGAACGATTAATTTCATGTCGGATTTGATATTATCTCATCGTGGATATGACAGGCATGGATATGCTTTAAACGGGCATCGAAAATTTGTTTTAAACGAATGTGATAACTGCGGCGATTACACATTCCATTATCAACCATTCTGATTTCTTCATTATCCAGTCGCTTAGTAGCAAAATGAAAATCGATTTTTTGATTGCCAATGAGGTTCACCTCTCAGAAAGACGGATACCTTTGGGATGGATGCTCTTCTCTTAAGCGAAATACGCCAAACAAATTGATCTGCAGTCGTGGTTATTGCACAGTGGTGTATAGAGTGTCGTCATTTGCCTTGCAGCCAATTGAAAACTTTAGAAAAAAATTTCAACTATCTATTTCAGGACTTTCGACTTCAATTTAGCCATTTTTAGGCGAATAATTGCCGACACCTGTCTTTGTTGATCGAAGATAACATTTTCACATTGTCAATGAAATGAATTTCACTTGCAATATTACAGAATTTATTTCGTCCAAAACAAATAACTGACTATGAGATGATTTGCGTCGCATCTCTTTACGTCAAGTTTATTGCCAGCAAGTTTGATATTTCTGTGTAGGTGACATCATCCAACCGTGAGCAAAACCAACCGAAACGCCCATTAGAGAGTGCCCACGTTTCGTTTTGAATGAAAAAACAGCACGTTAATTTATTTTCATGAGCCTTATAAAAATTGATTCGCCATCATTTTGCAGGCAGTAGGTTGTGCAAGTATTATAAACGCTCTCATTACTCAGAAAGGATAGCTTAGAAGTTGTATTGGAATATTTGCACATTTCTATCATTACCCAAAATTTCCAATGAACTCTAATGGAATACTCACAGTTTTAGGCACGATAGTGAAAAATTAACGAGCATCGTCGTAACGATTTCATGAATAGAGTTGAATAAATAATTGATCAGTTTTAGCAATTGATCAGTTTTAGTACTGTGCTTCTATTGATGCATTACCGTCGTTCAATAAATTATTCACCGTGATTTATGCACGCGTTCGAGCACATCACTAATAAATTTCATTTTGGAATCATTCTCAGCGGTCGCGGTCATTGATGGATTTTCAGAGTGACGTTTTGTGGTTATACTGAATTTGCTTGCTTACGTTGTTCGTGGTCCAGTGGAAAGTAGTTTCAGGTGTATATAATGGTGATTGGATTGGAGAAATACTTCACAGTTGTGGTCTGCTTGTTTATTGTTTGTGGACAGGTGTACGCTGAACAATCTGGTTATATGAAATTATTGTATGACCGTAAGTGATCGATATTCTTACA